CTCCTCAGGTCCCTTTTAAATCGTTGCCCTCTCACCTTAAACTTATGCCCTTTTGTTTTGAACTCCCCTACCCTTGGGGGAAAAACACCATGTCTAGTCACCCTAACCATGCCCCTCATGATTTTATAAACTCCTAAATGGTCACCCCTCAGCCTTTGACTCTCCAGGGAAAATAGCCCCAGCATACCAGGAGGGGTGGCACGGTGGTTCAGTGGTTCCCCTCCCATCCTCTCCTCATCGTACTCCTTCCCCTCCTCTCCTCTCCCCGTCGTGCTCCTTCCCCTCCCCTCCCCTCCCCTCCCTCTCATGCTCTTTTCTCTCCTCTCCCCTCCCCTCCCCATCGTGCTCCTTCCCCTCTGCCCGTCGTGCTCCTTCCCCTCCCCTCGCCTCCTCTCCTCTCCCCGTCGTGCTCCTTCCCCTCCTCTCCTCTCCCTCCTCTCCTCTCCCCGTCGTGCTCCTTCCCCTCCTCTCCTCTCTTGTCCCAATCCTTATGCTGTTAGCCCCTTCCCCTCCACATCCACGGTTGAGGGCGTTCTCTCCCGCATTTCCCGCAACTCATCCCTCACACCCCCTCCCTGCAATAACAACCAAAACAGAATCCCCCTCGTCCTCACGTACCACCCCACCAACCTCCGGATCCAACGCATCATCCTCCGACACTTCCGCCATCTGCAATCCGACCCCACCACCGAAGACATTTTTCCCTCCCCACCCTTATCTGCTTTCCGGAGGGACCACTCTCTCCATGACTCCCTTGTCCGCTCCACACTCCCCTCCAGCCCCACCACACCCGGCACTTTTCCCTGCAACCGCAGGAAGTGCTACACCTGCCCCTACACCTCCCTCCTCACCCCCATCCCAGGCCCCAAGAAGACTTTCCACATCAAGCAGTTGTTCACCTGCACACCCGCTAATGTGGTTTACTGCATCCGCTGTTCCAGTTGTGGCCTCCTCTACATCGGGGAAACCAAGCGGAGGCTTGGGGACCACTTTGCAGAACACCTACACTCGGTTCGCACTAAACAACTGCACCTCCCAGTCGCGAACCATTTCAACTCCCCCCTCCCATTCCTCAGACGACTTGTCCATCCTGGGCCTCCTGCAGTGCCACAACGATGCCACCTGAAGGTTGCAGGAACAGCACCTCATATTCCGCTTGGGAACCCTGCAGCCCAATGGTATCAATGTGGTCTTCACAAGCTTCAAAATCTCCCCTCCCCCTACCGCATCCCAAAACCAGCCCAGCTGGTTCCTTCCTCCCTAACCTGTCCTTCCTCCCACCTATCCCCTCCTCCCACCTCAAGTCCCACCCCCATCTCCTACCTACTAATCTCATCCCGCCCCCTTGACCTGTCCGTCCTCCCTGGACTGACCTATCTCCTCCCTAACTCCCCACCTACACTCACCTTTACTGGCTTCATCCCTGCCTCTTTGACCTGTCTGTCTCCTCTCCACCTATCTTCTCCTCTATCCATCTTCTATCCGCCTCCCCCTCTCTCCCTATTTATTTCAGAACCCCTTTCCCCTCCCCCATTTCTGAAGGAGGGTCTAGGCCCGAAGCGTCAGCCTTTCTGCTCCTCTGATGCTGCTTGGCCTGCTGTGTTCATCCAGCTCTACACCTTGTTATCTCAGTGAAACAGAAACATGTTGAAATCCGGGGTCTGCCACAATCCTGTTTGTGGATTTTGGTAAGGAGGTAGAAGCAATCTGTGCAGGGTTGGGGGACAATGATGTGGGAAGCTACAAAGAGGAAATCCCTGGAGAATGTGAAGTCAGTGATAGTTCTGGAATCAACAGCCTGATGTTTGCTGGTGGGGTCATGGACCCAAGGGTGGTGAGTGTTGGCATTCAACCTCTGCAAGGTAGAGGTTAGCACACCAGACATCAACAGCACTACTCCTATCAGCAGTCTATTCTCCATGTAGTTAGCAACCTTGTTTGGAGTGGGGATCATGAAACCAAGCATAAGTCTACCCAACATGTCAACTTCCAAGCGCATATTGGACAGGCCTCCTGGGAGGTGAAGGGATCTTTCTGGTTGCTTGCCTCTTCTGAAGTCTAGTTGCAATGCCAATGTCTCTTATTACAATTCACACTTTGCATGAGCTGTAGTTATGACAGGGACTGGAGTGTGCAGTGGTTATTGACACAATTATTTAATCCTATAAGTTTATTTGCTATCTTTTATGCTTGTGGCTTTTTTAGTTTCAGTTGTACACCTTTAAAAGGCAGCACTTTTCATGTGTCTTAGTTTAGGGGAAGCAGTGGCGACATGGTTGAGTCACTGGACAAATAATCCAGAACTCAAATCTAATGTTCTGGGGACATGTGTTTGAATCCCACCATCGTAGGTGGTGAACTTTGAATGTGATTTAAAAATCTGGAATAAAAAATAAAGCTTATCTAATGGTGACCATATAGCCATTGTCAAATGTTAAGAACAAACACAGAATCCCCACAGTGTAGGGACAGGCCCCTCGGCCCAACAAGTCCACACTGACCATCCAAAGAGCATCCCACCCAGAGCCATTCCCCCACCCTTTTCCCTGTAACCCTGCAGTTCCCATAGCTAACACATCTAATCTACAGATCCCTGAACACTATGGGCAACTTAGCATGGCCAATCCATCTAGCCTGCACATCTTTGGACTATCGGAGGAAACACACACAGACACAGGGAGAATGTGCAAACTCCATAGAGATAGTTGCCAACAGTGGAATTGAACCCAGGTTCCTGGCACTGTGAGGCAGCGGTGCTAATTACTGAGCCACCGTGATTCACAAATATCCATTAAGGGAAAAAAATCTGCTGTCCTTAGCTGGTTTGGCCTATATTTGACTCTAACTCCACAGCGATGTAGTTGACTGACGACTGACCTCTGACATGGCCAATCAGTTCTGGGGCAGTTAGGTATGGGTAACAAATGCCAGCCTTGCCAGCAATGCCCACATCCTGTGCTAGAATTTAAAAAAGGGTTTGCTGACTCCACATTGACTTATGTAGAAAGTTAATGATGAGGATTCCATTGGGATTGAACAATTACTTCCACAGTTTTTAGGAATAACTTCATTTTTTTTCCCGTGAACACCTCCTTTACTTATTCTGTTACCACCTCCTTTTGCCTTGCTTGTTTATGATTTAATTTCTTCTTCCTTTCTCCCCTCCCATTTTTCCTGTTGTGTTACAAAACCTGCCTAACTCTTCCAATCTGATGAAAAGATATTGACCTGAAATGTGAGATAACAAGGTGTAGAGCTGGATGAACACAGCAGGCCAAGCAGCAGCAGAGGAGCAGGAAGGCTGACATTTCGACTAGACCCTGCTCCTCTGATGCTGCTTGGCCTGCTGTGTTCATCTAGCTCTACACCTTGTTATCTCAGATTCTCCAGCATCTGCAGTTCCTACTATCTCTAGACTTGAAATGTGAACTTTGTTTCTCTTTCCACAGATCCACCTTAAGCCCCAGAGTAATTGCTGCATGTTGCTTTGATTACACGATTTGGATGTTATGTGTCCTTTAATTTGGTCATGTTTAAATGATCACAATAGTTTTATTTCTTTCCTTGGGTATCCATTTCCTCATTGATGCAGTAGCCCACTGTTCCTCTCATAGTTAACTGAACACCAGTGTACAGGCTGGAATGCATTTCTGTTACCTCCAGAAAGCTCGGGCAAACCTTCAAACACTCAGTTGTCACGGAGACAGACAGACTGCTTCTTCTCAAAACATTGGTCCCTAACACAATTTGCCAGGATTCGTAGAGAGTTGCGTAATTCTTTGCCTGTGTGAGACCATTTCAGTTTGGTTTTTCTAGGTATCATGAGCAAGTGATCATGTAGAACCGCGCTGCACTCCTGTGTAAATCTTTCCTAGGGGTCGGAGAGAGGAGCAGGAGGGGGTAAATGGTTTTGTGATGCAGTCATAATCTTCCTACCTCTGGGCCCAGAAGGTCCAGGTTCAGGTCTCCAGGGATGGGTCATAACAAGTCTGAGCAAGTTGATAAAAAGTAATCAGGGGTCTTATGACGCATAGGAAGTGTCCCTATTTCGATGACAGAAGGTAATAATTGCTTATTGCATGATATTCAAAGTCAAACATTTTGATTAATTGTAAAATCTTCAGCATGCATGCTGTGCAAGTTCACCAGGTAACAGGGATGGCAAATGGAATGTTTGTCTTTATTTCAAGGGGAATGGAATATGAAAATAGGGCAGTGTTGCCAAAACGATACAAGGCACTAGTCAGACCACAGCTGGAATACTGTAAATTGTTTTGGGCCCCTTATGTAAAGAAAGAAATACTAGCAGTGGAAGCAGTCCAGAGAAGGTTCACTTCACTGAAGGTCAGATTGTCTTATAAGGAGAGATTGAGTACATTGGCCCTGTATTCATTGAGATCTAGAAGGATGAGAGGTGACATCATTGAAACATTCAAGGTTTTTAGAGGATTTGACATGGTAGATATGGAAAGGTTGCTTCCTCCTTTAGGAGAGCCTAGGACCAGAGGGCATAATCTCGGATAAGGGGTTGCCCATTTAAAATAGAGATGACTAATTTCTTCTCTGAGGATTGTGAATCTGTGGAATTCATCACTGCAGAGGGCTGTTGAAGCTGGAGTAATTAAGTATTTTCATGTCTGAGATAGATAAATTTTTAATAAGTAATGAAATCAAGGGTTAAGGGGAAAAGACAGGAAAGTGTAGTTGAGGATTATCAGATCAACTATGATCTCATTGAATGGCAGAGCAGTCTCAATGGGCTAATGGGCTTCTGTTCCTAGGTCTTATATTATTATAGACCAACAGGTAGTCCCATTCTCTCTCTCAGAGACTTAGTCACTGTCAGCAAAACGATCTTATCAATGGAAGCCAAAGTTCTTTGCAATATTTAATCCAGGTGAATGGGCACACTACTTTTTTGATTTATTTTTGCAATGTCATTTCCTTAATTGCGATATTGTTGCTGATCAGCTGACTTTAGGCTGAGATAAAACGGTGGGTGCAGTGATGACAGTGCACAAAAGGGTTTGGTGTGGAGATAGTGTGCGTGCGTGAGTGAGTGAGTGCGTTCGTTGTATAATGGCCGACAATACTATATTTTACTGGGGCTCGGGCTCCCCTCCCTGCTGGAGAATCATGATCGCCTTGCAAGAGAAGAAACTATTTGGGATCCCGCAGAAATTGCTGAGTTTTGACAAACAGGAGCACAAGTCATTGGACGTGCTGGCTATAAACCCCAGAGGACAAGTAATAACCATCTTAATAACCTCAACAGAATTCTCTAATCAATTCGTAGCCTGTAAAAAGATATAGTCGCTTTTAATCCAGTACATCCGCCTCAGTTCGCTGTTGTCAAACTTTTTAAATCGGGAGGTACAACTTTCTAGTCATTCTTTAGTTGAAACCTGTGCGGGATTTTCGGCCTTGTAAAGTAATTAGTTCCAATCTGTACCCTTTTTTAAAATATATTTCAGCTCCCAACTTTCAAGCATAACGGGAACATCGTGAACGAGTCTTTCGCAGCCTGCATGTACCTGGAGGTAAGAGTCAACCAGATCAAAACGAGAAGTCACAGCGTCAATTGCCAGTCGTCTCACGCTTAAATTATCTGCGATTTTTTTTTCGTTCCGAGACCATACAGGGCTCCCCCGATGGTTCACTCGATACACACGAACCCGGAAGTCTTAAAACTGTACCAAAGTCAAATGCGCAGATTGCTGGAAATCTGTAATAAAAATCGAGAATTGCTGGAAATACTCCACATGGGAGTAACTAAGGCAGTCATTGAGCTTCTCCTAGCTATTGGTCGAAAAATGGACACAAGTCTAGGAAGGAAAAATAGCATGAGATAACAAGGTATAGAGCTGGATGAACGCAGCAGGCCAAACAGCATCAGAGGAGCAGGAAAGCTGACGTTTCGGGCCTAGACCCTCCTCCAGAAAGCTTT